CACACTCGTGCGTGCGGTGGTCCACATGTCTTGTGACCCCCCCCCCCCCACACACTCTCTCGAGAAGGCGGTGGTCCACATATCTTGTGACCCCCCCCCCAACACACCAAAACACACTCTCGTGAGGGTGAGGGTCCACATATCTTGTGACCCCCCCCCCCCACACTCGTGCGGGCGGTGGTCCACATGTTTTGTGACCCCCCCCTCACACACTAGTGCGTGCGGTGGTCCACGTGTCTTGTGACCCCCCCCCCCCACACATTCTCTCGTGAGGGCGGTGGTCCACATGTCTTGTGACCCCCCCCCACACACTCTCTCGTGAGGGCGGTGGTCCACATATCTTGTGACCCCCACCCCTATCACACACACAATCGTGCGGGCGGTGGTCCAGATGTCTTGTGACCCCCCCCCAACACACCAAAACACACTCTCGTGAGGGTGAGGGTCCACATATCTTGTGACCCCCCCCCCCCACACTCGTGCGGGCGGTGGTCCACATGTCTTGTGAACCCCCCTCACAGCACTCGTGCGGGCGGTGTTCCAACATGTCTATGTGACCACCCACACACACTCTCTCGGTTGAGGTCGTGCGGTGGTCCCAATGTCCTTGTGACCCCCCCGCTCACACACATCGTGCCGGGCAGTGTTCCACATGTCTTGTGACCACCGACCCAACACTTGAGCAAGGGGGCGGTCAGTGTTCTCACATGTCTTGTGACCCCCCCCCCTCAACACTCGTGCGTGCGGTGGTCCCACATGTCTTGTGACACTCCCCCCCCCCCTACACACTCTCTCGTGAGGGCGGTGGTCCACATGTCTTGTGACCCCCCCCCCCACACACTCTCTCTGAGAGGGCGGTGGTCCACATCTCTTGTGACCCCCACCACCGACCCTAACACCACACATCGTGCAGGCTGTGGTCCAGATGTCTGTGACCCCCCCCCCCAACACACCAAAACCCCCGACTCGTGCAGGCCGGTGGTCCACATGTCTTGTGACCCCCCCCCTCACACACTCG